AAATTCTTTTTTGCATGCATTTATTAGTTTGAGGCTTCTTTACGTGAAGTTCGTTTCGTTTTCTAGTAGTATTAAACTGATAAATCTCTAAAAATTTTCGCTAATTATCACGGGAATTCACGGGTAGATCTACAAAAATTGACCAATCATATGAATGTCTTCCTATGACCTAACTACCGAGTACCCTAGCCGCAAAACTTACGTTTTTGATACTCCTGCACTTTTTTGATACCGATTGACATGCAGATCAGGTAAAAATAAAAAATTTAAAAAATTTGAGCGAAGATATCTCAACACCTACCTGCTTGAATATGATAAATCTTTTCAATTTGAATTCTATGAATTCATAGAATTCAAATAAAAAAAAATTTATCGAATTTAACCATGTAGTTGTCGAGATAGCTTCGCTCAAAATTAGAGAAAAATCAAAATGCCTTCAAAATGACCAATCTGATATTTTTACAGGAGGATTCCCAAATTTTCGGGTCGGCTTAGGCGAAATTTTTAATCGGACTAGCAAGTAGAACTATGTTCTCAAAATACTTTAATGTTCTTAATGATCTCTATATAGGAAGATTAAAATATTTTAATAATTTATGTTCTCAAAAACTGTAGTGTTCGCAAAGAACAGAAAAATGAATTTATAACCAATCAAATTCATAATACTGTAACGGTAATACAGTACATGATGAGATTTTTGCATGTAACGTGACAATCGAAAAACTCGTTTTTTTTTAACATGGCCACCGAGAAAGTATCATTTTTAGAAAGTCAGCAAAGTAGGGAAATCATAGAATTAAGTCAGCTTTTACAGGAAACTAGTGACAATGTCACAACGAGCCCTTCAGGCTTACCACTATCTGCCAAACGCCCGGTTATTAAAAAAATATTGGAAGCAATGGCGGCAGGGATAGACGTGTCGTCTCTATTTGGCAATGTTGTCAAGGTGATTGAGTATATTTTACTTAAATTATCTAAGACTACTGGCGACTAACTTAATTTTATATTATTTGATAAAGGCAGCTTCCACAAAAGATTTAGTTCTCAAAAAACTAGCCTATATATACATATCAACGCAAGCTGAACAAAATGCAGATCTGGTAATACTAGCAATCAATACTTTTCAAAAGGACCTTCACGATGAAAATTTATTTGTGAGAGGGTTAGCATTACGTACATTATGTTCAATGAGGTATTGATCTATATTTTAACCTACAATTAAATATGAATTTATTAGGATTAAGATACATTTTATTTATTTATTTTATATATTTATTTTTCAAAGGCTCTCAGAATATGTACCATACATGCTTGAATCTTTAAATTCTGCTTTAAAAGACTCAAGCGCGTACGTGCGCAAGACAGCTTTAATTTCATGCATCAAAGTATTTCATCTTTCTCCAAAGCATGTGTTAGGTAGATTCTTATTATACTTTGTAAGTTGTAATTTATTATGACTTACAAAAAATTGACCAATGTCATATATTTTCAAATGACACAATTTATTTGAATATATTTTATTAGACACTACTTTGATTGATCAATTATATAAGACTCTTGGAGATGGAGATCCCGAGGTTGTCGCGAACTGCGTTGTGGCTTTGAATGAAATATTACATTCTCAAGGTGGAATGAACGTTAATAAAAAGGTTGCTCTGTATTTACTTCAGAGAATTCGTGATTTCAATGAATGGCACCAGTGTTTAATATTGAACACGCTAGTTAGATATAAACCTAATGAAGAAGATGAAATATATGATATAATGGTATATATAATTAGACTTCAACTAAATATTAAAAAATTGTAATGTTGCCATTGTGCTAAAATATTTGTTGAAATGTACATATACAGAACCTTTTGGATGACAGGCTCAAGCATCACAATAGCGGTGTGCAGTTAGCTACAATGAAATTATTTATATATTTAACTATTAATATCCCAGAAATTCAGGAGGATTTGTACAAAAGAGTTAGGGGTAAGCTCTTTTAGATCAAAATTTAAAATATAGTCTATTATATGATCATTGTTTCTAATTTAAATTCAAATCCAAAAGAACCACTGTTGACGTTATTGTCATTGGGCAATCCGGAAATTGCATACTCGTGTTTAGAACATTTAATTTTATTGGTGAAATTAGCACCTCAATTATTTCAGCCTGATTATAAACAGTTTTATCGAAGGTAATTTAGATAACAAACTTGAACAAAAGTAATAGTCAATGGCTTATTATTTTAAACTACCATAGGATAAAAGAACCGTCATTTGTTACTTTAAAGAAATTAGAATTGCTTCAAGAAGTTGCTACAGATATCAACGCCAAAGAAATTGTCGATGAAATTAGGTGAGACAAATACTATACATTGCTTGTTTGACTTAACGAAATACACAATATAAATATAATTCTAATCATATGTGTGTAATTTTATATAGTTGTTATATCACTAGTGATAATGGAGCCATTGCGAACAAATCAATACAAACTATATCTAATATTGCTATACGCATCGGAAGCATATTGACTTATTCCCTCGAAATTTTCATAAAATTATTGGAAACCGGCAAAGATAATATTGTGTCCGGTATTATCACGATACTTGAAGGTATTATTTAACAAATTTTGACAAATATTTCAAAATATACGCGTACTTTCGGTTAACATTTATTATTTTGGTTTAAAAAAATAAAGATTTATTAAACGAAAGCCCTGATAAGTTTGATGGGCTACTCTCTGTTTTGCCATCTATTTGGGCATCTGTAGACTTAACATCGCCTGCAGGACCGGCATTTCTAAATCTTTTAATGACTGTTGGAAATACACTACCAGAAACTCCTTATATTTTAGAATCTTTAATTGAAGATATAGAAAATTATCCAGAAACATCATTTCGCTTGCAACTTCTTAATTCTTCAGTAGCTCTATTCTTGCTACGACCCGCAGAATGTAAGGATATGCTGGCAAAATTATTTAAGTACACTATGAAATCAACAGAACATTTAGAAGTGCGAGAGAGATCATTATTTCTTTATCAATTGCTTCGATTCGATATTGAAACGGTGGATATAATAATCTGATTATTAAGTATTAATTGTCGCGGATGATCGTGAAATCCGGATCATCGTGAAATTCCAATTTTTAAAATTTTTTGGGGTATATTTTTTTAGGCTTTTTTTTGAATCCGGACTAGTATTTAGGGTTAGCGTTTATAATAAAAAAGTATAAGTAGGTTTTGTTAGGGTTGTGAGGGCTTATATTTTTAAATCAAGGCCCTATATTTCACGATGATCCGATTTCACCATAATCCGCGACATTAATTGTTTCATGTGCACTGTCTGAACAAATTTTATTCAAATCAATCGTTAAAAGGCCAAGAAAATTTTCGATTTTCGACATGAAACTACGAAAATTTCAAATAAAAATTCATGGAATGCTACAAAGGTGAGAAGTCTTTATTTTAACAGAAGTCCGTGTTTGATATTCGTATCTTTATCAGATTATCCTCTAATATAATCTAATATAATCTAATTATAGGGTCGTCCATTGTACGAATTCAATACACTATCTATCACTTATGGGAAGCCGCCAGAACAATTTATAGCTGATACCGGGCCAACTTTTTATTGGCAGAATAATCAAGAGATTGATTCGCAATTTTCACCTACTCTGGAATTTGATACAGTAATGTCATATCAACACAATTCACGTGATTGCGTTAGTTAACTTTTTACTAACCATGTGTCAACTAACTACCCAGGCTAGCGAGCATAATAGAGATACCTTTACACTATCAAGCGAGAATCCAATCGACGCAGACGCCAATGTTTTCAAGTCATGTTGGAGTAAATTTATAAGCAGGTATTCTGTATGATTTCGCGTGTTTTGTATTTTTTTTTAATTATCCCAGCAATTTAAATTTACAAGCTCTTACATAATTTAGTGATCAATTAGAAATATCACTCCCAGAAACGTCTATGCTTGTAAAATCTTTGACACCTGATGACATTGAAGATGTATTTAAGGAGAGTAACATTTTTACTATGGCTTCAGGAAATACGGGAGATGTATTGAAATTCTTTTTATATGCTAAAGAGGTAATATAACTCTATTGTCCTATCCTATTTAACCTTCAACATTATCACGTAAATTAAAAACTTTTTATACTGCAGGAAAATTCTCATGTGTTGATATTATGCGAGTTGAAAATTAATATACATCTAGCATCAGCTAATATTAACATTAAAACAGGATACTTACCACAAGATAAAATTGTTTCAGATGCACAGGAAACAGAATTATTTAAATATTCACAACATTTTTCACATTATTTAACTACATGTTTACAAAATTTGAAGAATTTAATAGTATTTGATAATTTATCGTTATAAATAAAAAGATAACTATGTAACACGATACTGTGTCCATAAGTTTTTATGTAACTTGAAGTGAATTTTGGTGTTAGTAAGTTACCAAATGAGTAATTATTTTGAATCCAGACCAAAATATTATTACGTCATATATAAATTGGTATGGGTTCAAAAATAATTACCTCGAAAATTTTGAGAAATTTGGAATAATAGACAATTGACAAACATATAAAATACCAGATAAAATAAAGTTACTGGCAATTTATGGTAATTTACCGGTAACTTACCGGTATTGCCGGTAAAGAATTTATAAATATATATCTGATATTACGACACTAGCCACTGCCAACCAATTAAATTATCTCATTAACAAGGGTTTTAAATGTAAATAATTCTCCCATGTTTCGAAAAACTTTCTTGTTTAAAAAATTAACTAATAATATGGTTTCGAATAAGGAGTATCAGACATTTTTGGACAGTGAGCGAATATACACATGCTCTAAATGCCACACACACCTTGCTGAACACAAAGAACTCATTTCTAAAGTAAGATACCTATTTTTTTTATCTTCCCTTTCGTTCATAGTAACAGATTTTTATATTTCCCTTGCAATTAGGCATTCCAAGGCCGACTTGGACGTGCATACTTGTTCAATGCAGTGTATGTCTTGACATAGCAATCAAAGTCCCAAGAAAAATATATTTTTATTGAAAACTTTTAAGTAACATTATACTTTTTTGACCATAGTGAGAATGTTTGTCTTGGACAAAAAGAAGATCGTACACTTATAACTGGAGTACATACTGTCAAAGATATAAGTTGTATTGGTTGTAATACTGTTATTGGGTGGAAATATGTGAGTAACGACCAATATGATCAATATTTATTCTTAAGATTCATTCATTTATTTATTTTTATTCAAAGGTACATGCTTTTCAAGAAGATCAGAAATACAAAGAGAATAAATATATAGTAGAGAAAGCAATGATTCTGAAAGAAAACAATTGGTGAATATGGGTTTTAAAAAATGGCGCACCCTGTCACGTGATCGCCGTGATCGATATACGATAATTTATTATTAATAAAAATAGAAATTTATAATAAAATTCAAAAATTATACATATAAATTACCGTATTTCGCGGGCTAAACCACCCCCCCCCTGTCGGATTGTGCGGATATTTCCATGGTGCATATCAAATTAATAGCCTGTTCATTGTTATGAAACAATCGCAATTATTAAGCTAACGATTGGCTTTCAAAATAACAAACGTTAAATATTAAATTTTATTTAAATTTAACAAACGTTAAATATCAAAATTTTAAACAAACGTTAAATATCGAATTTTTATTTTAAATTTTCTTTTGTCTTGCAACTATTGAACTAACGATTGGTTTTTTGAGCTAACAAACGTTAGGCACACTTAATATTTTTATTGTGAGAAAAGTTTTTTTTTATTTTTTATATTGCAATTGTATACATATGTGAAGACAAAATAAATTTTCTTTACAATAGAGAAGAATCG